TTTAACTACAAAATCTGTATTCACATGCAAACAATTGCAGACACCCCTCTGGAAGAAACAGTTCATAAAGGGAGTAGATATTGGCCAGAGGAAATCTGTACAAACTTTTTCCTTAGGGTATTCATTCCCAAAAGAAGGTCCCTGCTAAGTCCAACCAAGTAGGGACAACATATACCTGAAGTCTATTGTTCAGATTGATGGATTTAAATGTCAAAGTTTGTTCTGAAATTTTACAGAGAGAAGTAACATCTGTTATTAAAACCTCTATGAACAGAAAGGGTCATAGCCTGGAAACCAATGGCTTGATTCAAAACTGTGCTTAAGATCATAGGAGAATTTCACCCCAAACTCCTCTAGGATAACTCCCATCAATTCTTATTATAAAATAACCAAACCAACAGCTCACTAACATTATTCTAAGCAGTATTACAGCTAGTACTGAGTATTAATTCTTGTCCTCTTGCTTGCTTCTGGTGCAAAGGAGAAGTTTTTATTTTGACCCATTGTTTCATTTCGGTTCTCATGCTTTCCAGTGCAGGAAAGCCGTATTGAACATTGTCACTGACTTTGCAAGTCGCCTCCGCATGTGCTCTCACTGGGGCCTGACTGTACCCTGGGAGGCAGAGAGCACGGGCACAGCCGGTAGGTTGCGGACACAGAAACTTTACGGGGCAGGCGCGATGGGGCAAAGAGCTGAAACTAGAACGTGGACAGACTGCGGGCCCAGGGGTCTTCCTCCCGCCCACTCTGGGTGGAGTACCCCTGGTACAACTCTGTCCTCAACTGAAGGAAAAGAGCCCTAAAGGGATGGGGGTGAGTCTCGGCTTCCAGGATGATGCTTTACCACAGTGGGCAGCAACTCTGCAAAGGATGTTCACATTATTCACACACACAGCAGTTTGGTTCCCCTCGCACTTAACTCAGTAGCTGCAAGCATTTCAGACATGTTCCCCCAATCAATCCTTTCATCGGAACCAACATGAAACCCTCCCTTCCTCTCTGTACATTCAAATACATGTAAGAAAGGGTCCCTGGTTTATTTCCAAGCTAGCCTGCCAGGTTCAGATGTAACAAAATCGGAGAACCTTTTCTTTTAAGTCTCAGCACACTGGTCGTGATTAAACCTTCTAAGAATTGCACCAAGGTAAGCTTCCTGGGGCTGTTCTCCTTCCCTGAGTTAATGTCCTGTCTGTTTTATTTAGACTCCGAGTCTGCTTAGGAAAGACGATGTCGAATTCTATGTCTGAAATGCCCCTAGCACACCGTTGGCACTTAAATGTGATTATTCAGAATGGAATCATTTAATTAGATAGGAAGAAAAATAGCAAGCCCTGAGACGATAATAAAGAATAAAGCAAATATGCTGACCGACTGAAGCGAAGCAACAGACAGAAAGCTGCGTGCGCTCACGAGATAGCAGCCACACTGAGGTTCTTCAACTCGGACGCACAGGACCGGGCAATCCGTGGCACACTTTGCTTTTGCCAGTGTCACAGAAAGCGGAGCGTGACTGATGTGGATAACTCTATAGAGTGACAGAGTTTTATGTCTCACGTCTCATATGCCTTAGCTCTTAGGGAAGGCTGAGGAGGAGGAGGAAGGTGGAAGAAGGAGATGAAAGCAGGGAGTGATGGGCTCCGTGGCCCACAAGCGCTTGAACTGGGGATTGGGAACAGGTCGTCTGTCCACCTGGATGGGGCAGGTCACTGCGCACCACCGAGACCTGCTGGGTGGGCAGCTGGGGATCCGTGTGGTGCAGAGCCATTTGCGCCCTGTCCTTTAGAGGCATGGCATTGTGAGTACCAGGCAAGGGGACATTTCAGAGTATGACAGAATGGAATACCCCTTGGAAACTGACCCTTTGTGCCCCCTCTCTGGTCTAGGAGACGGCCAACACTTCTGGGTGCACTTTTGACCACGAGAGGGTTCCCTCTTTCTCCTCCTCCTCTGGTGAAATTCCAGAGCCTCAGAATGAACGTTAGTCCTTATTGATCTCCTATGCCCCCACCCCTGCCAGCCTCCAATCACTCAGTGAAAGAAAGATGAAAAAAAAAGATTTGCTCAAAAAATACAGTAGAAGACTTTTGTTGTGGACAATAGCTTTAAAACCCTGTACAATACACCATGTGGGTGCCCAAGGAATAGGGCCATGTATTTAAATGCTGGGTAATCCAATGGAAGTTCTCCTTAAACGATTTCCTGTCTTAATAAGTAAGTCTTATGTCAGTCATTGCCATCACTTGGTTACAAAATTATACAAGTTTTATAATGAAGTTTGCACACTGACGGTAAGGCCTGAATAGTTTAATAATAATCTTTTGAGCTAGGAAAAAAACAATGTAATTGAAAACTATTTGAGACAGAGGCAGCCAGCTTTCATGTCCTCTCCAAAACTTCCCTAGCTGGTCCTTGGACTTGACCTGTGAGGAGGTGGAACAGACAGGAAAAAGCCCCTTGGAAAGGGTCCCTTTGGCCTGGTGTCCTCTCTTGACTCTGCTACTTTGACTGACTTCCTCTTTTCAGCCAGACTGGAAGTTCATGGATAGATAACTTCCTGCATGAAAAGTTTCTTCTCCATGTGAATCACTAGCTGCTTTGGATCTGACAGTGACGGTGGTGTGCTTTAACCACTGAGGCAAATCTAGCTGTCTGACTGTCCGTGCTCGAACTTTCCATGTGCCTCAGGCTATTTTACGTGGATGGCCAGTAAGCTTAGTATTGAGTGCCTGTTATATGGAGAAAATAGAATTGGGTATTTGGTTTGAATTCAGCACAGTGCTGGGAAGCTGAATGGTGCTGAATTCAAGGGAGGGAGGCTGGGTATCTCATTGCTCCTGGGCTTTGGGATAAATCACTAATCTCCCACCCTGTTTCCTAATCAGGAAAATGGGAAGAAACAACAGAACTTACCTCACAGGGCTGTTGGAAGACTGAATGAAAAGTGCACGGCTTAAAATAGTAAACAATTAATGCTAGCCATTATTACTACTAGTGTCATTTAAACTGTGATCGTTGTTTTGACAAGGGTTTTCTACATGGACTCCCATGGGACTGGGGAGGGGGAGGCTGTGTATGGGAACCCGCTCGTTTGTTGGAACTTCCTCCGTCTCTGAAGCAGTCACTGGCGTGCACTGTGCCCTTAATTTTCTCCTTTGGCAGCACCTGTGTGACCTTGTCTTTAAACAAGAGGCACACTGTAGCTCAGCTACCCCATAGTCCCTGCTTCTACTCTAGCAGGAGTGATAGATACTTTTTTCTCTTACAAAGTTGAGGACAATAAATGTAAAGCAGAGAAGTGCTGGTCTATATTACGTCTCTGAGCGCCAACGGTGAAGAGAGAAACCAAGGGAAATATTCCCAGGTCCCAACATCCAGAAAAGCACTTCAGAGACGGGCTTCTGGGGCGATTTCAGTCACAGGTGTTTGGCGTGCTCAGCCCCCCGCCCCTTTGCCAATGTGACACACCTGAGCTGAGCGCTAGGGGACTACGGCTACTTTCTGCACTTGACGGTTCCTGTCACCTAGGGGACTCAGAGCACTCAAGTTAACACAGTCATACAGCTTGAAAGAAATAGAGAGAAAATTTTTTTTAAAAAAGGCAAAAGTTGGATTAGGCGACAGCTGTGACACTTCCACCTGATCTGAGGTGACAGCTAGGTGCCTCCCAGGTGGGAAGCACCTGCTGCTGCCCAGGTGGCATGTGGGACAGCAGAGACGGGGATGCGCTAGCAGTGAGACTAGATCGCTCGCCCCAGGCTGCCTGATGGCCGGGCCTTCTCAGAAGGAGCGTCCACGCCGGATGCCGGGCGCCGGAGAGGAGGGGAGATAACGCCCGATGGCTAACTGCCACTCTTGTCACTGGCAGTGTCCCTCGGTCCGGTTACCGACAACCCAATCCAGCCCACTAGTTGGTAGTATTTTACTAACCACCTAGGCCATCTGACAGATGTTTTTATGGTTTACATATTAATTCTATTCCTTCCGTTCTGAATGAAGCTGTACTTTCTATGGTTTCATCGTGTTACCGTCTCCGCCACACCTCCTACTTATACATCCATATAGTATACGGATGGCTTCTCCGCAGTCTGCAACCCATGGAGCTCCAGAGAAGTAAAGGCGATCCTGCGTGGTCTGTGTCTGTGGTCCCACTCCACAGCTAAGATGTGAATGCTGGACTTACCTGGAGTTTGGAAGCACTTTACTCGATTAAAGAACTTTCACCAGGCTTCACTCAGTCTCACTGATGAAGCTCAAGCTTTTAAACGACACGCGTGTTCAGGTCAGCGGCTTTCTAGGGGCTGAGCCGCACATCTGGATCGTTAGTGCACAGCCCAGGCCTGGGTTCTGTTTTTAATTATGACGCTGGAAGGCGCCAGACTCTATGAAGTGACAGGAACAGATTAGACTGGAGAAAGGATAGAAAAAGTCCAAAGCATAAGAACTATGGGAGAATCTTGACCACAGACACTTTAGGAACAACTGAATGGAACCTCTACTCTTTATGAGAGGTTATATTTAACGTGTTTGTATACTGGTAGCAAAAAACAAAAACACATATATATTTCACCTACAGATGGCTGAAATGTGATCTCCTATGATTTTATAATGCTTTATGTAATTATCTGTGATTAAATTAGTGCAAGGTAAAAATAATCGACAAAATGATATATTGAAAACAATTGCTAGGCCAAACAGCATTCTTTTTCATAAAAGCAAGTGTCATGTGCAGCAAAGTGGCAGAAACAGAATGGAGTGAGCTGTGGGTAAGTGTAAATCCGTATAGCAATGAGTATCATTTATATTGTCCTTACTTCTTTGAATAAATTCAGATGACAGCCCTATTTCATTTCTTCATTCACTTTGGAGGCCAGATGGCATTAGAATCATTTACTTCACCTTGTTGTGCTTAATTACTACAATCAACACACTATTTTCCAAATTAATCATAACAAAGTAATTTCATTAGTAACACAGCAGGCTGTTGAATTATTAGCATCATAACAGTTTGCAAACAATTAAACTTTATTTGAACCTTAAAAATTTGCAGAGTGGAACATTATTGTAAGATCTAATGGCAACAGAGTACAAATTCAGTACCGAGCAAATAATCAAGTAAAATGCTATATAAAATATGACTTACAATCACCTTTGAAAAAAATTAGCTCTCTAACTGTTCATAGAAAAACAAATAAAAGCTAAGCAAACATAATGAGAACATAGCAATTAGCATATTCTCTAACAAGACACGTTGTTTAAATTCGCATTAATTATATTATGATGATCTTGAAGAGAGTGTGGAGCTCCGTCAAGGGTGTAAAGAAAACTTTCTCCCCAGTCTTATACAAATGATTTCACCAAATGAACATAACGTTGTCCTAGGCTGAAAGTGACGGTTATTTTTCCTGTGATTCCAATTTTACATTTTGTTTTCTTTCCTATCTTCCACCTAGATCCATGTTAAAGGAGAACAAAGGCCAGAGGAGCTCTGGACAGAAGTAACTCTTCATTTCTGTATTGTTGCCGTTCACAGAGACCAGCTGGCTTGGAAATTGTTGGTCATCCGTTGGCAAAGGACTCCCTCTCCTGGATCAACTGTAAAAGGAGGCAGAAATGTTCTGGATGCTTTACATTCTGCGCGAGTCTGGGCCCGAGTGGGGGAGGGGCTTCCAAGTGGCTCGGTGTGCAACGAAAAGCTGCTGCCATCTGCTGGCCCAGGGCACAAATCTTCACTCAGCCAGACGCGCGGAACCTGTGTCCACTCCACGGGCAAGTCCGTGTCTTCCATGGAAACCTGCAGCTGCTCTTATTTCTCAGCCTCTCGGGCCCTGGAAACCAGTCCACTAGTCTCATCTCTGCTTGTCCTACTTTCCCCAAGATGATGTCAATCTATCCCAATTGCTTTCTATTAGGACAAGACTAATGAGTGCACAAATTAATTTCTGAAAGCTCTGACTCAACAATGTCTAATTTATATAAACCAGAATTTACCCCAAGTCTCTAAACTTAACACTGTTTTGACATCTGAAATAACATGACCACGGTGTTGCGGGGATAATGGCACAGATCACTCCAAAATGGGGCTTGTAAGTGGTTTGAGGTACGCGATGGAGGTTTTCGGATATTATCAGCCTGTGTGCACGGTCAGAATCTTTATCTTTATGAAGCAAAGATCTGAAAACGTCAACAAAGGTAGTATGTACTAATCAATGCTTCAGGGTAAGGAGGTTATATCTACTCCAAATAATTATCCATTCAGCAGTACCTTTTGATGTATATTAAGGCCAAGATGGCACTTTGTAGGCATTTAAAATGCCTTTGACTTCAAATGCACACGAAAAGGCAATGATCTGATTCTGCGGATCTCGCTCAGGCCTCAGAGCACCTTCTTCCCTCCGGTGCCAGGCTGACGCAGCCCTGCCGCGCACCCGCTGCCGCGTGCGCCCACTGCGCTTCCTGCGCGCTCCGCTCGGCGCCCTCCGTCGTCTTCGTTGCTTGGAGGTGTGCAGAGAAGACTCGCGTCTGGAGTTGCACTGTTTTGCTGTGGGACTTGAGAAGCATAGCTGTGATCGGACAGGATGAAAGAGAGCGCTGGGTCACACCTTCTCACTTCTGGAATGCACTGAGAGTATTTGTGCCGTTTTACTAGTGGGGAAAGGGCTTTCTCACGGCAGAAAATGTTGGCAAGTGCATCGTCTCACCAGGGCATCTATTACTGATACAGGACTTCCACAGAGCGTGGTTCTGGCCTGCGTGTGTGTTGCGGACGGGGACGGTTCCCCGCCACTGGCAAGCCTGTCCTCCCTTCTTTCCTGTGGCTATACTTAACGTGAAGTACCTTGCCAAATAGTAAACATTCTCTCCCGAAAACGTGTTACTATTGTGTGAAAATAAACACTAGGATAAATCATCTAAAAGTTTTAATAAAGCCTTATTCTTTATGTAGCATTTATCCAAAACTTGCATAACATATTCAGTTTAAATTTCAATGAAATTATATAGTACAGTCTAAAAAAATAACTGGTGTCCAATATTGAAATTGCAACTTATATCAGAAGTAGCAGTGACTATGTAGAACATATAAAATAGTGCTGAATTCTCCACACAAATCAAATGAGTAAGTAAAAACTACAATGATTTCTTTGCAAAATAGCAACAGGTATAACTTTCCTGCTTGTATCTAATTTGCATTAGTATCCTTCATTTAGTCTCACATCAGAGGGCTGTTACAATGAACGCGCAAAATAACGAAGAGGCACGATGCTCAACAAAACAAGGGAAGGTTACGAGCTCGGGCTTGCACGGAGTCTGAATCCAAAGCGTTTGCAGGAGCAGGAGAACGTTCCTCTCTTGCAGGCAGAAAGGGAAAGTTGCGTTATAATTGTTTCCTTCAATCAAAATGTTGATGTTTCCTGCTCAGAAAACAAAATGACATTTTTTAGCCAAGGAAAAATGAATGTTTACTCAACCTTTTGTCAACTTTATTCCTCAGAAAGGCCATAAAAAGTGGTATTTCACTAAAGAGGAGGAGGTTTGGAAACACAGCTGGCAATTATCAAAGGGGCTTTGCCTTAATAATTTGTTTCCAAAGTAAATTCTGTGAAGTTATTTTTAAATATCAAACAAGTTTTTTTTTTTAAAGATGATGATGATTAGGGAGCATAATCTCTGTGTGTTATCAGAAAAATACCAAGACTTTTAAAAAGGCAAAGACTCATAAGGCAGAGACCAAGAGAACACATGAGCCATTACAGAATATTGGATTAAAATGTACTTACCCAGGACTCTCAAATATCATACATCTCCATTATGTAGGCTTTCGGCACCAAGCCAATGGCTCCTTTCATTTCTCCTACCCACCAGCCATATCTATTGTATTCCTAATTGAAAACAATATGCAATATTAACCTTTAGACTGGTGGAAGTACAATGTCGTTTGTGTGCAACTTCTTAGAAATGTTATTTCTTTTTATAAAGTTACAAGAGCTTGAGCTGCAAATTGAAACATTTTAATCCTTTTTTTTGTTTCTGGATGCTTTAAAAATGCTGTTAGGCAAAGATTTAAATTAATGTATAAGACACAGCCTGTTTATGACTGGGTGTGAGACACAGAAACAGTCAGTCGTAAGAACCTAGCGCGCCCATGTGCTCGCGCACTCTCTCTCTCCCCCTGCCTTCTAGAGGCTACGGGGTTACAGCCAGGATCCTTAGGGTACTGTCTTTGCCTTCAAGGAGCTTATCATCCAGCAAGGACAGATGTCTTTCACAATAAATGACTAATTTCTACTTAAACTCATATGACCAAAAATGATTGAGAATGTGCAGATAGGCCCTTTCTTTAGAAAATCTAATATATGAGTATAGCCATTTTAAACACATAAATTAGCGAAAACAAGAGAAGACTAATAATACTTAAAAAAATTATTTATAAAACCATTCACAAAAGGGCTCCTTTAAAAGAAGATTCCCTAAGGCATTTATTGTTCTTTTTATTGATCATAAACTGCAATAGATAAAGGATGGGTAGAAGGAACTTAAAGGTGGTGTTAGATTCACCCTCACAGCAGAAGGTCGACAGGAAGTGAAAGCATCTCATGTTATAAAGGTGACATGTTCATCCAGCTGTACACCAGAGTGACTCCCGGTCACTGTGGCCCTCACACTGCAGGGTGAGAGACCCCGCCCCTCCGCCTCCCCCTTGGCCCCCAGGACAGACGCGCCGCTGCTGCAGGCGTCAGAACCACCAACCGGTCTCCCCCGTCTGCCAGGCTGACTGACGTGTGTTTATCTCAAATTTATTTATGTTTAGTGAGAGACAAACAAGTAAGATGAATTACAAGTTTCAAGAATAATATCTTTCAAAAGCAATACTCTCCCAAAAGCACTGGAGTACCCAGATTTAATTTTTCATGCAGATACATTGTTAAAATCAACCCCCAAAGTAATTCAATGGGCTATAACTCTCAGACGCCGAGTCACAGAGAAATGTGCATATGCACACGGAGTGAGTCACACGCGGGGAGGGAGCGTTAACGCGGACACAGGCTGCACATCTGCACTGATTAGTCCTCTGCTGACCATCGGGGGTGGGGGGGTCACTCAATTCTTCAACACGAATGTTGCAACATTAGTGTGTGTACTGATACGGGGTGTCTCAATAGAGACATGATTGGGTGAAAATCTACGTGTGCTTTCAAAACTCGGACGTATCAGAACTGGGTTTGCTGAAAGAACCTGGTGGAAGCAAAGGGGGGAGGAGCGCCCGTCCTGCGGTTCTGCCTCTAGTAAGGGCACACCCGGCCTGGGAGACAGTGGGCTCGAGATTTTGAGTTTGAAAGTCCTCTGACCATGTGAACTTAGTGGGCAAAACTGTCTAAGAAATGAACGTAGCCTGATGCCCAGAACTCAGTGATGAGGACTGTAATGTATGCAGGATATATTTATCACAAAAAAATACCAACTCACTGAAAGCTAAGATTAACAACCATTACATCCTAATAGGTACCTAATAAAACTGCCCTTTTCAATTTTTAAGGCAATGAATACAATTAGAGCCTAATGCTTACCAAAACAAATGTATTTAACCTTTCAGAGGCCAAAGGCTCACACTGTAAAATTTCCAGATGGATGGCTAGCAGGGTAAGGTGTGAGGGCTCTTACCAACCGCCAAGCTCAGAGTCCTGTTGATCTGGAAGGAGCAGAGAAACTACGCCCCCCAAAGGGCAGACCAGAACACAGTCAGTGGGAAGGCCTCTTATGACCCAAACCTGCATCCAGACAATAGTCCGCAATCTGGGTTGCATTGTTTAGAGTCTAATTACAAACCAGAAGCTCGTATGACTTTATAATATTCTGCTGCGGTTATAACCTGTGCGCTCAATTAAGGATATATTATTGTTCTCAAAAAGCTGACTCACACCCAAATTTAAAAAATTGATTTCCAACAAATCACTTCAACAAACGACCAATGACATGCTTCTCGCAGGAGAGCTTCTGCGTGACAGTCACCGGTGAGACTAACGAAGTAGGAAACGCAGCAGCAAACAGCAGGGAGGAGCGTGTTCGGCTGTAAACAAATCCCCTTAAAGTAACATTCTGGGGGGGAAAAGTTTTAGACTGAAATCATTTTACGTGCTTTACTTAATTAATTTAAAATAATTGAAAGCGTATGAGATATACACCTCATAAAAGTACTCTAAAATATCACCGGTTTAAATCAGAAAAGGGCACAAATAAAAAACCGGAATGTTTATTACTTTACATTCGTAAAAGATTCCATATGATACTCCTGTGTGGAATTAAGAGGTAAGATAAAACACAGCGAGGTAGAAATCTAGGAGGCAAATTTATGGATTTACACTGCAGCCGTTGGAGGGTGTCGACGGGACTGAAAACACGGAAGCTGTTACTTTTATCATTACCATCCTCTGTATGAGCCTCCTGAGCAACATGAATCCCAATTAAACCATTTGCAGCCTATAAATTGGAATGAAGATGCTTCTTGGAGTACAGTATTCTAAACTTCAGCCTGAAGATTCAATATCATCATACAAGATGCCTGTGAAGAAGAAAATCTGCCTTTCCTTGCCCTCCCCCAAACGAATGTGATTATGAGTGACAGATGACTGACAGTGGGAAATAACACAATCCATACACTGTTGTCTTGTGGTCCACATACTGACTACGGCAGTGTTCTAAAAGTCACAGGTGGGTCCTCCAAAACACAACCACCTGCAAACCTGGTCATGTTAATACACACAAAAAATAAAGAGACAAAACCAGAGCGGGCTGCCATCTAAGTCTCTGAAAGGGGGGGAAGCGTCGTGGCATCTTCATGGCGCACGAGAGCTCAGGTCCAACATGATGTGCCGTCTGGTATTCCTCACCCTGCTCAGCCCTAACGTCAGCTGAAACGCTAACCTGGGCAAGTGACTGCACTTCAGGAGGACTGATAAAATAATGAAGAGTCCTTTAATCTACAGGAAACCATTCTAGTCAATTTATAAGAAATATTGCGTCCCTCTGTAGGACGTGTAATTATTTTCTATTAATCATGTGCTATAAAGCTACATTATGCGGTTATTCTGTTATCACTAGAAAGAGGCCTGCAGTCAGCTTCTGACAATGTTAGGTAATTACTAACACAAAGCTTCTTTCTCTTCCGGTAGTAATGCTATCAAGATCCTGAGGTGTAGTGAATACTTATTGTATAAAAATAGTGCTCAAACAAAATTCAATGTCTGCAAAATGGATGGCTTCAAGGCAAAATGTAATGTGGCAGTCAAAGAAGAGCCAAACTTGCCAGATAATCTGAGAAAACAATCAGAAAGCAGCAACTGAACGCTTGTGATCTAACTCCTGCTTTCAATTTCTATGCCATTAAAATCGCTTTTATTAGTTTTATTTTGTAGTTAAAATTTTAGGCCTCAATAGGTGGTAAGCAATAAATTACAGTGATTGCGTCATAAGGCAGGAAAACAGGCCTAGTTCTGATAACGTGAAATGGACTCGATCCAACACAATAGGAAACATCACGTCCCTGTTTACCAAGAACTACACCTCTGTGTGGGTGTGTTATTTTACACTTAAATGAGGCCCCAGCATTTACTACTTAAATCCCTTTCAGCACCACGATTCTCATTTTTCAAGTATGTTAATCCACTTTCTGCTAACCACGTGGTAAAAGAACGCTGCCTTAACAGAAACCCGAAACACTAATAAGGTTTTGCGAAGTGCTCCCCCTTTCTGAAATTAGAATCTGTTTGAAAGGGTGTCAGAAAGGTCCTTTTTTCAAACACATGTCTGTGTTCTAACTATTCACTGTGATATTTTCAATTTTTCAAATTATCGGAACGCATAGTAACACGAAAACTAGGTAATTATTTCAAATATGGAAATACTTTCTTCAAGGCTACCTCTTCCACCCTCTCCTTTTTAGTATCTCCCATCGGAAACTTTATAACAATCCTCCCATTCCTCCCACATCCCTCGTTTCCAAGGATCTCTTAAAATGAGCTACCCATCTGTCATGAATTTTCCTATGAATTATCTAATCCATACTTACATCTCTCATTTCTAGCTCAGCATTTGTTCTTCTCTGGAGTTTATGTACCTCAGTTTTGTCCCTCCGACTAAAAGTACGAGCTCGGAGGACCCCAGATGGCAGCAGACTGGGTGGCAGCTGCATTCACCTCCTCCCAGCCAAGCTGGAACTGCAGCTACAAGACAGATCGGCCTGAACAACCGACTGAAGACCAGCTGAGGAGAAGTCCTATAACCAAGGATGCGAAAAGGGCTGGCCCCACTCCCACGCGTGGTGGCTGAGCTTCCGGAGGGGTGTCTCAGCTCAAAGGTTCCCCCTGAGAAGACTGGGGTCTGAACCCCAAGCAGGGCTCCCGGGCCCAGAGCACAAGAGCTGGGAAGAGGGGCCCGCATATCATCGGGCTAAGCGGGATTTATGTCCACCAGGGACAGATGGGGATTCACTAAAGACACCCTCTTAAAGGGTCGACACACAAACTCTGGTTTGCAGCCCGCCTAGTGCGGCGTGGACTAGAGTTGTGCGAAGAGAGAGCAGAAGGGTCCCTGTGCTGAGTCACTCTCCCACGCTGCAGACGCCATCTTTCTTGGGTGGAGCACCCCCTCCATACAGCATCAGCCTGGGGGAAAGCAACAGCCCCGGTCTCTGGGCTCCCTGCACCCCAGCCTGTGCAGCTTGCACTCTGCTGAGTCGGCTGCCTGGGCTGCTGTGCAGAGATCTGGGCTGGCTCAGGGGGGACTAGTAACTGAGTGGTACGGCTTTGGGGTGGAGGCCATCCCTCCCACTTTCCTGCGAGCCTGACTGGCACCTCCCCCCTCATAGGAGATACTCTAGCCGCTA